GGTAGAAATGACGAGGAGATGATCTCCACTGCTCTGGGATACATCGCGCACCTGGTATTCATGCTCAGCAAATATCTCCAAGTGAACCTCCGCTATCGCGTGGTGCCATACTCTTCCCGGTCCTTTCTGAAAGACGAGATCAACGACCCTCAGGGCGAGTACCCGCTGTACAGGAGAGGAGTCGAGAGGGAACGTCATGAGAAGGCCATTCGTTTTCTTCGCAAGGACGTGGAGCAGGTACATTCAGTTGATTATGTGTGTTGTGCTGTTATGATATCTGACGTTGTGAATGACTGTAGCTTCTGTTTGCACGAAGCTTGGATCCCACACTAGAAGCGCCTATTCTGGCTCGACTAAAGGAACTCACGGATGCTGAGAGCGCATGGCTTGCGATCGATCGGAATCTAAGCAACAATGCAAGTAGTAGCAATGGCACCGATACGGGCGCCATCGTGACCAGGTAGACTATACGAGTGCTGCAAAGTGAAGCATGTAAGGAGTCTGGACCTGAATTGACCATTCAAAGAATAGTAGTTAGACGCTTTTTTTCCTTTTCATTGTTCGGTGCATTGACGTGCTTGTTAACAAGATGGCAACGTAGGTACGTTGCAGATCTTAAAGCTTGGAGCTAGCAGTGTCTTGCGGGTAGTGGTTCTTGTACCAGTGACGTGCAATGTCCTCGCGCGTGCAGATCCAAGCGTCCTCGAAGCTCTGAACATAGTCCAGGAAGCGCAGCAGAGCGGCGATGCGTCCCGGGTGGCCCACCACGCGGCAGTGCAGCCCAACCGACATCATCTTCGGCTGTCCAGCACGTCCTTCAGCCAGCAACACATCAAACGCATCCTTTAGGTAGGTGAAGAACTGGTCTCCGGAGTTGAAACCTTGCGCCGAAACGAACTTCATGTCGTTGTTGTTGAGCGTGTACGGGATGACCAGATGCGGACGTCCGTATTGAGTGTTCCAGTAGGGCAGGTCGTCATTGTAGGCGTCTGCATCGTAGAGGAAACCTCCTTCCTCGACCACCAGGCGACGGGTGTTGACGTTCGGCTTGCCCTGGTAGATGCCCACTGGACGCTGACCCAGCAGCTTCTCGTGGACAGCCACAGTCTTGCGAATATGTTCACGCTCTGTAGCCTCGTCAACATTTTGGTAGTCGATCCAGCGGTATCCGTGACTAGCGATTTCCCATCCGGCATCTTTCATCGCCAGAGCAGCCTCTGGGTTCTTCTCGAGCGCGAGGCCCACAGCGTAGACGGTGAGTGGCATCTGACGCTCCGTGAAGGCGCGATGCAGACGCCAGAAGCCTGCGCGGCTACCGTATTCATACAGCGACTCCATGTTCATATGGCGCTGGCCCACGTAGGGTACAGCACCCACGATATCGGATAGGAGATGCTCGGACGCAGCGTCGCCGTCCAGCACATTGTTCTCGCCGCCCTCCTCGTAGTTGAGGACAAACTGCACAGCCAGCTTCTTGCCGCCTGGCCACTTGGGGTCAAAACCGCGCTGCCCGTAGCCTACGAAGTCCCGAGTAATGTTCGGCATGATCGCGCTCTCGTTAGATTCTGCAATCGTTGGACTACTGGATACTACTAATAAGACTGCGACCGCAATCACAATGTTGAATACTCGGAGCATGGTGAAGGGGTAGTTTGAGGTGTTGTGTCCACGATGAAATTAAAAGTGCGCTTCCGAAGTTGCGGCGACCAGCACTAGTGATTCACTGGCAGCCAAGACGCTTCATACTTACCTACTACGTGTACCTACTTGCACTGCGTTCACCTCTCAGTGAGTAGTATTCAGTGAATACTATTCAAGTATCACGAACGTTAATGCTTACGGACGCTTGCGTACAATCCTACCTGCAGCACTGCGACCAGTCCTTCTAGCCGCTACAATAGACTAGACAAGACGCTTTCTACCTATTGCGACCAGCCTCAAGCCCCAAGACTTGGCCAAGGCCCCATTGAACGTAAGGTGGAAAAGCCACAGAATCAGGAGCTTTCGACTCAAAACACGTGCATTCACAGATAGGCAGCACTAAAAAAAACCTGCTGCCAATCAGAAA